GATTGACCCTAGTCTAACTCGGTATTATGTTACTCCCAATAGATTAGATGATTAACACATTAAGACTAAATTTATGTAATATATTAGATAGCTCAAAACTGACACGCAAACTGAGAATGCAATAATTATGACTAATAATGTGCCATTCGTAAACTGAAGCATGGGTATATCTGTAATAACTAAATAATCAGACCTAGCATGCATAATTCATGAACTAACGAATATATACAACTATGGTTATGCATATCAAATGAGAAACTGAGTAATAACATGATAATCTGTTTTGGAACATTAATTAACTAGTTCATGATAATCTGTTGAAGTTCTAGAAAACCCTAGGCCTAGTTATAATAAGGGAGTCAAAAATCTGACTGAATTCTAGGGACCTAATGGGCGAAAGGAACCCACTAGTGAAATACCACATACCTGGTGACGAATTCCACAAAGAAATTTTTCAATTTTAGGGCTGGAACTGGAGGAAACTTGTTGCGTTCTTGAACTAGGGTTCTTGACTTCTTTCTTCTCTTAGTGTTCTAACTTTCTAAGTTTGATGAATGATTGACTTAGGTAAGTCCTATTTATGTTTCTAGGATAAAACTAACCAAAACCACGTAGTTTAGGGGTCTAACAAAAAAAGAAAATACCAAAAGACCCCCGACTTAACTACTGTCGGAGTGACCGACAGATGGGATCGATGGACCATCGATAAACTGGCGGTCCGTGCTGGTCAACTGTCAATCAGTACTGGAGGTTGGTTTCTAGGGATCTGACCCACGGACGTGAACCACGGTCTGTGGTCTGACCTACGGTCCGTGGGTTCGGCCATGGGTCGACCCTTTGATGAATATTGGGGTTGAGTTTTGGGGGAGGTTGTTGATGCGAACCACGGACTACCAGCATGGGCCGTGGGTCACCCTATGGTCCGTGGGTGGCGTCCATGAGTTACACCTGCAACATCTGGAAATCTATTTTAAGGTTTGTTTCTGGATACGGGGTGTTACATTATCTCCCCCTTGGAAACATTTGTCTTGGAATGGAGACTAAACTAGTTGAAATGGAGGGAAAAAGTTACAACCCTACCACTAATCACTAGAAACTGATTTCTGACTGAACTAAGTTCCAAGAACATGCAAATACGCTGAAAATAGAAGTACAACTGAAAGAACATGATACTAAGATTGAGTTTACGCATGAATAACTGAAAAACTGAAAAGGAACTATTACCTCAAGATGGAATGGAATCGGAGGGAAAGAGGTGAGGATACTTGGCCTTCATGGTTGCTTCTTCTTCCCAGGTAGCTCCCTCTACGGACTGACTCTTCCACAAAACCTTGACTGAAGCAACTTCCTTATTTCTCAACCTTCAAACCTGACGATCAAGGATTTCAATTGGTACCTCTTCAGAAGTGAGACTATCCTTCACAACCACACTTTCTAAGGGTACAATAGATGTTGGATCACCCACACACTTCTTCAATAGCGAAATGTGGAAAACTGGATGCACTGCTGCTAGTTCTGTTGGCAACTCTAATTTATAAGCCACTTTACCAATCCTTTTCAAGATCTTGTAAGGGCCTACATATCTAGGACTGACCTTCACTTTCTTTCCAAATCTCATCACCCCTTTCATAGGTGACACTTTCAGGAAAACCCAATCATCAATTTGGAACTCCAGTTCCCTTCTCCTTACATCTGCATAAGACTTCTGGCGACTCTGAGTTGTCTTAAGTCTATCTCTAATGAGTTGCACTTTCTCCGTAGCATCATGAACTGAATTTGGTCCTATCAAGGCTGCTTCACCTAATTCAAACCAACCAGCTGGAGATATACATCTACACCTATACAATGCCTCATAAGGGGCCATCTGAATGCTGGAGTGGTAACTATTGTTGTAGGCGAACTCTATAAGAGGAAGGTGATCATCCCAACTACCCTTGAAATTGATCACACAAGATCTCAACATGTCCTCTAAGGTATAAATGGTACGCTCTGCCTGACCATTCATCTGCGGATGAAATGTTGTGCTAAGGTTAACCTGAGTACCAAGACCTTTCTAAAATGACTTCTAGAAATGAGAGGTAAACTGAGGACCTCTATCTGAGATGATAGACCAAGGAACCCTATACAACCTAACTATCTCATTAATGTAAAGCTTGGTGTAATCCTCCGTCGAATCCGTAGTCTTAACCGCCAAAAATCGTGAAGACTTAGTAACTGTATCAACTATCACCCAAATGGAGTCATGTTGTCTGCGAGTACGAGGTAAACCTGTACTGAAGTCCATGTTGATCACTTCCCACTTCTAAGTAGGAATGTTGATCTCTGAGTCATACCTCCTGGTTCTTTATGTTCTACCTTGACTTGCTGGCAATTGGGACACTTAGCCACAAAATCTACTATATCTCTTTTCATGTCATTCCTCCAATAGACTTCCCGTAGCTCACGGTACATCTTAGTGGCGCCTGGATGAATAGAATATCCGGAGTTATGGGCTTCTGCAAGAATCTGTTGTCTCAACTCACCCACCTTAGGAACACATAAGCGGCCATGATAGCGAAACACACCATCTCCCCCTTGGGAGAAAACCTCAACCATCTGCTGGTGGATGGCACCCTTAGTTCAAGCAATATCAGATCACTGTCTTCATTCTCCTTCACCGCCACTACCAAAGAAGATTCTGACCCATTCTGAACTGTTACACCACCATCTGATATGCTCATAAGACGATCTCCTAAGCGAGCAAGTCTGTGAACATCTTTTGATAGTTTCTTTCTTTTTTCCTCAACATGTGCTACAATACCCATAGATAATCTGCTAAAAGCATCTGCTACCACATTGGCCTTACCAGAATTGTAATGCACACTCATATCGTAGTCCTTGAGGAACTTACGCCATCTCCTCTGGCGAAGATTCAACTCTTTCTAGGTGAACACTTACCGAAGGCTCTTATGGTTTGTGAACACATCCACATGAACACCATACAGGTAATGTCTCCAAATCTTAAGTGCAAATACCATTGTTGCTAGCTCGAGGTCATGAGTTGGATAGACCTAGGCCGACTCTGGATGTATCACAATAGATCACATAACCGTCTTAACCCTCTGGTAGAGTCAAAACAGGAGTTGTAGTCAACCTAGTTTTCAATTCTGCAAAGCTCTTCTCACAATGATCTGACCACTGAAACTTGACCTTCTTCTGAGTCAACGTAGTCAATTGAGAGGCTATGGATGAAAATCCTTCCACGAACCTTCTGTAATAACCTGCTAGACCCAAGAAACTTCTGATATCTATAGGAGAGGTAGGCCTGGGCCATTGTTTCATTGTTGCTATCTTCTGAGAATCCACTCAGATCCCTTCTCTAGACACTATGTGACCAAGGAAAGCAACATATTGCAACCAAAACTCACATTTGCTAAACTTAGTGAATAACTGGCGATCTTTGAGAGTTTGCTGAAAAACCCTCAAATTACTCGCATGGTCTTCTTCATTCCTATAATAAATGAGGATATCATTAATATAGACAATAAAGAACAAGTCCAAATACTGCTTGGACACTATGTTCATCAAATCCATGAAAGTTGCATGGGCATTAGTTAGTCCAAATGACATAACAACAAATTCATAATGACCATACCGAGTTCTGAAGGCTGTCTTTGGAATGTCACTATCTCTGACTTTGAGTTGATGGTAACCCGATCTGAGGTCTATCTTTGAGAAATTACTAGCACCCTGAAGTTGGTCAAACAAGTCATCAATCATGGGGATGGGATACTTATTCTTGATTGTGACCTTGCTCAACTGCCTATAGTCAATGCTCATTATGATAAAACCATTTTTCTTCTTCACGAACAACACTGGTGCAACCAATGGCGAAATACTAGGTCTGATGAAGCCCTTATCTAGAAGGTCTTTCAACTGCTCTTTCAATTCCTTAAGCTCTACTGAAGCCATTCTGTAAGGAGCAATAGAAATAGGCTGGGTATTTGGAAGGAGATCAATTCCAAAGTCGACTTCCCTTTCGGGAGGAACTCTGGGAAGATCTTCTGGAAACACTTTTGGGAACTCGTTGACTACGGGAATTGACTCAAGAGTTGGGGTTTCAGAGCTTAAATCCTTAACCCGAACTAGATGATAGAGATAGCCCTTATCAATCATATTTCTGGCCTTAAGGTAAGAAATGAATCGACCTATAAGCGCTAAGCTACTACCCTTCTATTCTAAGATTGGTTCGTCTGGAAACTGAAAACGAACAATCCTAGTTCTACAATTGACTAAGGCATAACATGAATGTAACCAATCCATGCCTGAAATGACATTGAAGTCTACTATTTCTAACTCTACAAGATCTGCTGAAGTGACTTTCTGGGAGACTCTGACAGAGCAATTTATGTATACTCGTCTAGCTATAACTGGGTCAACGACTGGAGTAGAGACTGAGAAAGGTTTTGAAAGAGTTTCTGGACTAACATCGAATTTGACTGCTATATAAGGAGTTACAAAGGAAAGAGTAGCCCATGGATCTAACAAATCATAAACATCTAAGTAAAAGACTCGTAAAGTACTAGTGACTACCTATGGAGAGTCTTTCTGATCCTGGCGAGCCTGAAGAGCATACAACCTGTTCTGGCACTGTCCACCACCTATACCAGATGAGTTACCCTGCTGAGTCGGGTGACCTACTGTGTTGCTGAAGTTGTGGACTAGGCTCTACCATTGTTACCTCCTTGACCCGGTCTAGAAGGACAATATTTCAACATGTGACTAGACTGACCACACCCAAAACATCCTTCTTTTCTTGCAAGGCACTCGTTCGGATGGTTCTTACCACACTTAGGACAAGTTGGGTAGGTTTTGGTGCCTGAAACACTACCTTGAATCTTAGAGCCTGATGCCCTACCCTTTTGATCATTACGGAACATAGAGGATGGAACACTAGCTAATGAAGGTACTGGAGCTGAAAATTTCTGCTGAGACTGCAAGCAATTTCCACCACCCGATTTCTATTGAGAATAGTCATAGTTGTTGTTCCTAGCCTTCTTATTCTCTGTGGCTTGTTCCCTAAGCTTATCACCCTCAACCTGCTGAGTGTGAGTTATGAGCCTAGAGATGCTCATATCTTCAAGTAACATGGCATTTCTACACTCTGTCTTCACAAAGTCTGACACTCCATATAAAAACTTATTCATTTGGACCCTTGAATCAGAAACCATGTGAGGAGCATACCTAGAGAGTTGGGTAAAATTAAGCCTATACTCTTGGACTATCATGCTACCTTGCCTTAAGTTCATAAATTCTTGAGCTTTTGCCTCTCTTAATTCTCTTGGGAAGAGCCTGTCCAAAAAGGTCTCACTAAAGCAATCTGAAGTGATAGGAGCTGCATCTGTACCCCTGTTCTCTTTCCACTGAGTATACCAGATATGAGCCACATCCTTAAGTTGGTAAGATGCTAACTTAACCCGATCATTACAAGTTACCTGCATCACTTCAAAGATCTTCTTGACCTAATCAATCACGGTTTGGGGATCCTCACCAATCTGCGATCGTAAGAACTCTAGCGGATTTATACTAAAAAAATCTCGTACTCTGGCTGCAGCTGACCCTACATTAGTACCTGCCGGGATTGGAACCCACTGATTGTTCTGGTTGGTCACACTCTGAGCCAATACCTGAATGGCGTTCCGGAACTCTGCATTCGAAACTTCTTGATTTGGGACTGAAAGATCTGCGTTTGCATTCCTAGCATTCAAATTCCCGGTGTTAGCTCTACGAGAAGGCATGATCAATGAAACGTAGAACGTCGAGTTAGAATGGAATTAGATCATACCTTACGCACGATAAGAGTAACAAGAAAATGAAGATTTTTTCTAAAACACTTTGTAGCCTCTCCCTAATTAGATTGGTGCGCACTACACACCCATGAAAAGAACTCTACCTAGCACGGCCTTTGAGACATCCTAGGAAACATAAACCTAGGGATCTGATACCAAGTTTGTCATACCCCGAGCTAACCCCCAGACGCGGACACACGACCTAAGATTACAAGTGACCCCAAGCTAAGCTTGCAGGCATGACATGAGCATACTAAGAATAATAATAACTGATGCGGAAGTTTAAATATCATGAAAATAAAAGTGATGTGGAATACACATTCTTAAACTGAATATATCACAATCTGAGAGTTTTGATACAAGATAAATATCAAACTCCAATACTAAGTTGAATCTAACTATGTCTGATAATAGCCTCTAACTCACTAGAAGTTATTGGACATTCCCTAGCTAAATCTAGCAAAACTGAAACTAAAAGACAGAAATACTAAAGTAAATAACATGACTATTGTCCTCGGAGAATGAGGACTCACCACTGATGCTGCTGAGCTAAAGATCGGGAACAGATCTAAGCGTGATCTGGATGCTGAGGACCTGGACCTACATCATGAGAAGATGTAGCACAGAGTATGCGTCAGTACTCGAGAGGTATTGAGCATAAAGAATAGAGTAAAGCTTAAATAATATATAATTGAACAACCAATAAAGCAATAGTATAATCTGAACATGATATAGATACTGAATGCTGAGCTAACTGAATGCAAAGACCAAATTTATAACATGCTAAGACCGAATACTGACTGTACTGAAATGAGGTCAATACAATGGAGTTTGACTGAACTTTGGGAGCTACTAATAACTGACATAAAGACAGATGAGCTAAATATGGAGTCCGATGTATATGCCCCATCAAGAGGACCCAATACGCCTGGCCAAAGGTGTAGAGGCATGCTGGCTTGATCACTAAAATAATGCCCACAGAGGGGACTTACAACGTACGTGGCTTGTAGTTTTGGGACTATATGGGTGGCTGACCCTAGTCCAACTCGGTATTATGTTACTCCCAATAGATTAGATGATTAACATATTAAGACTAAATTTATGTAATATACTAGATAGCTCAAAACTGACATGCAAACTAAGAATGCAATAATTATGACTAATAATGTGACATTCGTAAACTGAAGCATGGGTATATCTATAATAACTGAATAATATGACCTAGCATGCATAATTCATGAACTAACGAATATATACAACTAGGGTTGTGAATATCATATGAGAAACTGATTAATAACATGATAATCTGATTTGTAACATTAAATTTACTAGTTCATAATAATCTGTTGACGTTTTAGAAATTCCTAGTTCTAGTTATAATAAGGGAGTCAAGAATCTGACTGAATTCTAGGGATCTAATGGGTGAAAGGAACCCACTAGTGAAATCCCACATACCTGCTGACAAATTCCATGGAGAAATCCTTCGATTTCAGGGCTGGAACTGGAGGAAACTTGTTGCGTTCTTGAACTAGAGTTCTTTACTTCTTTCTTCTCTTAGCTTTCTAACTTCCTAAGTTTGATGAATGATTTGACTTAGGTAAGTCCTAGTTAAGCTTCTAGGCTAAAACTAACCAAAACCACGTAGTTTAGGGTTAAAACAACGCAGTTTAGAGGTCCAACAGAAAAGGAAAAGACCAAAAGACCACCCCGACTTAACTATTGTCGGAGTGACCGATGGACGGGATCGATGACTGATGGTCCGTGCTGGTCAACCGTCGATCAGGAGGCTGGTTTCTGGGGTCTGATCCACGAACACGGACCACTGTCCGTGGTCTAACCTACGGTTCATAGGTCTGGCCATGGGTCGACCCTTAGACGAATTTTGGGGCTGAGTTCTAGGGGAGGTTGCTGATGCGAACCATAGACCACTAGCACGGGCCGTGGGTCACCCTACGGTCCGTGGATGGCATCCGTGAGTTGCACCTGCAACTTCTGGAAATTTGTTTTAAGGTTTATTTTTGGATACGGGGTGTTACATATCCTTTGCCAAAGGAAAATCACATATTTTCTGAATATGATAGATCATGATTTCAACCTAACACACTCCCGACTTACTTCATAGATCTATATTATTTCTGCATGATTTCTAGAAGTGGTTACCAATATTTGATTCTTTGAATACCAAGATATTATTATGCCTCCATATGTAAACAAATAGCTCATTTGAGATCGAGCTTTATGCAGATTAAATAAATATGCTTCATCTACATAATCAAATCATTTATGACTCAGATTGATCATTTCAATTTTATTGAAGCTTATATTTTCTTCTAAAAGAAAATCATACATCTTCTATGTGTTGAGTCACTTTCTTTGTTAGTTTCTTGACATAACTTGAATGATAATATGACAATCCCCTCACATAACTTATATATATATATCAAATAATCTTCTAGCATTTGCATAACCAGCAATCTGTAAGTGCACCAATTGCACTAATACATGACATTTTTAATCATTTTCATGAGGTTGAAAAGATTCTTTCCTATGTTAAGAAATCTCAGAACCATTGGGTACTCAATGGAATTGTTTTAAGACCTTTTAAATCCTTCAAGAATTTTCATATAACCTTCATCGTCTAGTTAGACATGATAATCAGTCATTATATATATTTAAGTATTTCATCTATTGTCAGACTGAAATAAGTCTCATTGAATCCACAACTGGAGAACATATCTCCATTTAATAATGTCAGGACTTCTACGAAAGCCCTTTATGCCCCGAGGCACAAACCATACTTTATACCTTACGGTTATACTTTCGCACAATGATTCATTTGTACCTCACTGACATATATATCTATCTATGAACTATAAGTTCAAAAACATCACTTTTCTAAGTGAAAGAAAATAACTTGAATAATGTATTTTATTTGGCCAATCATTTATCTGTCCACATTATATGACAAATTCGAATTTAAGATCCTCATAACCACTTATACCATTGAGTGTTACTTCATATCAAAGATACTGTCGACGGTCATTTAACTCGATTCCAATACGACATAACTTGTTGAGATCTCTTTATTTTTCATCATTTTTAGGTACCTGAACCTTTGCCAAGGTTTTATGAAGTGTTATGTCATAGAGCTCTTTCAAAGCACTTACCTCATTATCATGACAATTTTGATAATTTGCTCCTCTCCTTCCTCAAGGATTTTTACGTTTGGAATCGATTGGTCTATCACGCTTCTGGCGTACCATAGACTCTGTCCTTCAAGGACTATTTATTGAAGCATTTGCAGCTTAATTAAAATATTGAGTCATCAAATACATCTGACAAATTATTTGCAACATTTTGCAAATAAATTATCTCTTGAACTTCAAGTTCACATTTTTTTTAACGAGGATCTAGATAATTCACCCCACACATAATTTCAGCTGCTAAACATATCTCCCCCTAATGTTAGGAAATCTAACATTTACCCAAACCTCATTTGGGATCCATCTTTGTGCGTGGTGGAACAATAAAATCATATGTGCACACATCAAATTTTTAGACGGAAATTATTTGGTTCCTGACCCTAAACCAATTGTGATGGGAGAACCTTGTTGTCTCGATGCATAGATGTTAAATAAGCTCATCTTATACCAAATTTTATTTGAGAGATTTGTTCTCTTAATCATTGGTCTAACTATAATTGGAGGCATACAATTTCTGCTAAACCAACCAGCATTATCAATATAATTTTATAGTTTGGAACTGTGCTCTTATTTTAACAATTCGAGCAAACAACCTTACAAAAACCAATGTGTAAGTTGATACAAATGCACATGTGACCATACAATCACATACCATAGATGCATCTATTAAATCATAACAGTGAACGGTCCACATGGCATGTGAACGGGCCCATATTCACCTTTCTATATGTTCCAAATAATTTTAGGGGATACATTCCCAACCTTAGTTGAGTCAGTTATCAATTTGGCATGAGAACAAGCAACAAAGAGAATCTTGACGAATCTTTTATTTCTTCAAACATATAGCCACATGAATTCTCAATTTCTTTTGCATCACATTTAAATCGGAATGGCCAATCGGTTATGCCAACTGATATTTATTCTAGTTTACTTTTGCATGTGATTCCTTCATCATGTCCAAATTTTATTCAACAAACAAGAGAATGACGGGTAACCTTTTGTGTAAATATTCATAACCCGCTTTGATTGTAGTAATCTGAAGATATTTAATCTTTCAATAATTTACAGTCTCAATATAATAATTTTTTTCAATTCCTCCGAAACTTAAAAAGTTTCTTTTATGACTTACTACAACCTCAATATTATGAACTATTTCATTTTCTAGAGAGTAACAAATTAGTCCTTCTGAAACCTTCAATTAATTTTATGTACTGCCACAAATTTCACAACACCATTCTTGTGGTGACCATTTTCTTCAAGGAGAAAATTATTATTATTGTCATGGTTAAAATTATTACATGCAAAACTTATTTCTTGACAACCAATGACAAATTTGTGTTGCCACACAACAACATTTATTTTGTTCATGACCACAACCTTTGTAGACACGTAATTTTTGACCGAACATAAATTTTTATAATATTTTTATTCCTTAAATATTTCTTTTATGTCTAAGTTAGATATTTTGATTTTGATTTTATTTATTTAGTTTATTTTAAAAGATTTGAAAACAACAAAAATAAAATCACATTTTTTGGTAAGTTTTATTTTAAATTTATTCAAAAAGAAATAAAAACTTTCAAAAATATATGTTTTCTTTTGATTTTAGCTTTAATAAATAAACTAGTGTTTCTTAATTATTATTTTTAATTAGCTATTTAACTTTTCTTATATTTATATTAATTTAAAATAATTAATTAATATTTTTAATTATTATATTTTATACTTATATATACCTACACATTA